CTTAGGGGATGGCGGCACTATTTTCTTAGGTTTCCATTTATTGTGAAGACAGATAACACTGAGGGTAGGCGCTTCATGTCCCAACCGAAACTATCAAGCAAATAGACTCGTTGGCAGGAACTTCTTTCATAGTTCCATTTTATGCTAAAGTATCGTCCTGGATCAAGTAATCATGTTGTCGATGCTCTTAGTCGACGGGCCAACTTGGCCACCATTTGCTCTATGACGGCTCTTTCAGGGAGCACAATTACGACAAATACAAGTGACCAAAATCAGGCACTTTTGGATGGTGGCTACTCAATATTTTGTCGACCTAATCAAGCAAGGCAGAACTCGTCAGTTCTGGTTCGATGGGGGCCTAGTGAAGACTAAAGGAGACCGCCTATATGTTCCTATGGGCGGAGATTTAAGGAAATCACTAATGACGGAATGCTACGATACGATTTGGGCGGGACGTCCTGGAGAGGAACACACTTTTGCACTACTACAACGTGCGTGCTACTGGCCTAAAATGCAAGACAACATTGCAAGTTACGTGAAAACTTGTCTTATTTATCAGCAAGATAAGACAGATCATCAGAAAAAGGCAGGCTTACTTGAACCTCTTTCCGTCCCAACTAGGCCATTTGAGAGTGTATCGATGTACTACATTGTTAGGAGTTAATATCCTAAATAGTACTGAACTTTGTCAAAAATTCCTAGAAGGTCAACGAATTTCAAAACTTCTTTAAGTAGTCACTGAACTTTGCAAATAGTTCTTAAGGGATCATTGAATTTCAAAACTTCCCTAAATGAGCACTGAATTTTGCTAAAACTTCCCAGAAAGTCACCGAACTTTGCAAATTGGGACCCCATTCATCAATGGTTCAATGACTATCAAGGGAAGTTTTGACAAAGTTTAGTGACTATTTAGGGAAGTTTGGAAGTTCAGTGATCCCTAGGAACTATTTGTAAAGTTTAGTGACTACTTAGGGAAGTTTTGAAGTTCGGTGACCTCCTGTGAATGTTTCACAAAGTTCAGTGACTATTTAGGGTATTAACCCACATTGTTGGATTGCCAAAAGTTAGAGATTTTGGCACTATCATCGTCATGGTAGACCGTCTTTAAAGTACGCAACTTTCATCGCAGCCCAAGTATGTATCGGCTGAAGAGACGGCTCAACTCTTCTTCNTCAATGTTGGAAGAATATTTTCGGCACTTTATTTCTACTTCGTATAAATTTTGTGTAAAACTTTTGGATGCGGCTCAAATTTGCTTCAATGCCCAAAGGAGCTCTTCCACCAATACGAGTCATTTTGATATTGTGACTGGCCAGCAACCGTTACTCCCTCATATTATGGATATCCATTAAAGTACCAAATTCCCTCAAGCGAAAAACTTCTCTTAAAAGTGGAAACGAAATATTGAAATTGCTCGAAGTTATTTTGAGAAAGCTTAGAAAAGGTATAAAAAGTCTGCAGATTTAAAGCATCATTTCCTTGAATTTAATGTTTGAGATCTGGTAATGATCAAACTTCTCGACATAAACTATTATAAACAGACAAGAGGGGAAAACTCAAGATTGGTGCCAAAATATATTGGGCCATTACCCTCGTGAAGAAGATTGAAAGAGTCGCATACAGAGTTGTACTCCCTTCATGGTGCAAAATCCATAAGGTTTTTCATGTTGGTGTACTCAAGCCATACTTTGCAGACAAAGATGACGTATCCAGAAATGAGCCAAAGCGACCCGTGTTTGAACTGAGAAAAGCCGGAAAGAAGGTTGCTGAAGCTGTATTGGACTATCGAACTACTCGAGCTTTTAGGAAATATCATCAAGAGTACTTGGTCAAATGGAGTGAATGCAGTAGCGAAGAGAATACCCGGGGAAAGAGAAAAAGACATTGGAGCTTTCAAACCATTAATTGAATATACCATGCATCGATGGCACCGAGGATGTCGCCAAAACAAATGGAGGAGAATGTCAAGGACCGCAACTTTACTTAGCCCCTTGACCCAGCGCAACCGTAGTTTGCCCAACTTTGGCCGCACATTGTAAATATTAGTTCAGTTTGAGTTGTAATTTCCTTTTCATTATAATAGTTTATTTCAATTGTAAAATAACTCTGATATTTGTTAACGTTTAGTATGATTTCTTGTCGTTTAAACGTCTACTCCTATCACTTAAGTTTTTGTTCCGCAAGCTATTATAGGGGGTATTAGTCATTCAAAAATCTTTCAAGGTTACTGGTGTTCGCCCCCTGCACCGACCATTGTAATTTTCTGCTTTTATCAATTATAATTTTCACTTTCATCAATCAATGATCAATTTACTTTCAACGCATCTAAATTTTCTGTTGCAAGCTTTTTACAAATTGTAATCAAAATTTCTTTAATCCCGAAACGATCGAGAGAAGGCGGAAGGTAGTCTAACGGAGCAGACTATTACCGTACGGTATTCCTTTCTGTGCTAAAAAAGGCACCCCGTGAAACATAGACTAACCCTGATAGGGGCAAGTTTTTTACTTCAAAATTACAGTTCATCAATTTCATCGATAAGCTAAAATTATAATTATCAAATAGAAAATGTATATTCTTATAATCAATAAATAGAAAATGTTTATTCTTTAAATGTTAATATATTGGTCCAAATAAATCTCCAGTCTTCCAGTCTGCAATAATGTCTCAACTCATATACGTAAATTCTCCTTCCACAGTAGATTCTTGAATTTTAGTGGCTCATCTTGACATTAAATTGTGCAAGAGTTGATAAAGGCATTTGTCTACAAAGATATGATTTTAAAAAATATTGCCAAACTTCTAAGATCATTCTCATGCTAGTTTGTTTTTATATCTCCATAGTGATAAATTGATCTAGTGATCATCCGTTAGACCAGAAACATCTTTCAACATTTGCTAGCTCGAGTAAAAAAGCATAAAGTGTTTATGAATTTAATTAATCAAGTGATATTTCTCTTTTGTAGAAGCCATGGAGAAACATGGCCTTGGTCTACAAATATTAACTGGAATGAAACCGGCTGACTAGATAAAGATCCTCCTTAAGCGGTATGATTAAATTGTTTTGGTTAAAAACGTGCTATAAAATGCTCTTGCTGAGAAAGAAAAAGTAAATCTTAAGGAAAAATACAATTGCAGGTGAGGACTTGTCTTAAGATATCTAACTGTCAAGGTTTACAAACAGTTACTAAAGAATTACCTTCAAGAAAGTTGCACAAAAAAGTGTATGTTTGGTAAAGCTTTTTGTAGATTATGAGTTGTGGTCCTATGAAATATAAATATGCAGATAAAATTGATGTTAGATTAGCTTATAAGCTTGAAAAAACTTCCCCAAACATACTCTAAATAGTGAGTGGAGACTCAAATCACATTATTTACCAAAAGGATGAGGAATAAAGGGAAGAAACTAAGCACCGGAGACTTGACACTTAAGGTGACAATATGGGTTTCAAAACTATTTCAGGAAGAAAGAGAAGTACAAAACTAAGTCTATCCTTACCCAAAAAAGGGAAGAAAAAAATCTAGTGCACACAGAAACCGAAAGCTAATTTTGAAGTAGGAAATAAGAAAAATCCAGTTCCATGGTCCATTTGGAGTATACTGTTCTCTGATGTTAACAACTAAATTTTGAAAGCATGTGAATTTCAGCTGAGCTGTCTGTCGTAGTGAAGACAAGGGCATCTCAAAAGTCAATGCTGGCAGAAGGTTGTGCAATAATCTGACAGATAAGCACTTTTATTGTTGTTATATGTCATTCTTAGTTCCTTTTCCCACACACAAGGTTGCTCAAAAGCTAAATCTTCTTGATTACCCAAGGCAGAGCAGAAGCTGAAAACCAGAATTGTCATGGAGAGATAAAATAGGATGGATTCTATATAAAATGAGGATTGTCACTCTATTGACGCTAGTTGATGTAGCAGGAGAATTTGGAATGGCAATAAAAGTTGTGGAAACTGTTTGGGTAGAAAAGAGATCAAAACATGTACGCAGTGGATATAATTTCCCATGGTTGATCCATCGCAGAGAGAGTGAAGGAGAGACGGCGATAAAGAGCAATACCTTATCAGAAAAGTCTGGAAGGTTTTCACGAGGATGCTCCTCAAAATATCTCTTCAGAAGCTTCTTATCAAGCTACATTCAGAAGTAGACATGTGAACAGCATGGACATGCTATATCACGAATAGAGATAAAATCCTAATTATGCCAAATAGAAGTATTTCTGTCAATCATCAAATGTAACCTCTGAATCAATCACACATGTATATCAGCATACCTTAGATTCATCAACTGAGATGGGAAGATTGAGAAGATATTGCCCTGACTGAAATTTCAATTTCTTCATCAGAGGCTATCTTAAAATTGCTCTTTTCCATCACCTGCAAAATAAGATAAAAGTGAATACAAATGAAATATAATAAATAAGGAAGATCTGAAGAGTAATAACATGCGCTCATTTCCCCCTTCGCCTTCAACCCAAGATAATGGGCAGCAGGTTGCCAACTTGATAGACGATGTATTCGTGGATAGCAAGCATAAAAGTAATCATAAAAATAACAAAAACACCAAGCTAATAATCATTGTAACACAACCATTTGTGTGCTGTGTATCGAGCACAAACATTTTTGGAAACACTAAGTTAATGAGAGCTTAGATTTTTTTGAGAATAAATGTTTTGAAAAGTGATTTTTTTGAGAATATGTGGTTAAAAAGTAGGGAAAATTTATGGGTCTACATGCAAGATTATTTTATTAGGAGAATGTGTAGTTGAAAATGAGTTTGGAGAAAAATAAGTTTTAAAGAATCTCTACCTAACAGGGGCTAAGTTTCTGAATAGCAAACAGGGTATCACACAAAAATAAGCGAAACCGCTATGTTTTATCTGTCATGTTACGAGTCTCTTCCTTTTTGGTGTATTGCATTCAACCTGAAATAAGTACGTCAAAAAATTCTGTTCAAGAATGTCAACTTCGTCCGGAGATAAGTTCTGCTGCTCCAACTTCTGAGCCCCATGCACAGGATCAAAGAGGGAGTACAATTGCTGCATGCACATAAACATAATTACAGAAGAAATGAAGAGGGGGGAAAACGTCAAATTTCTCCTTGAAATATTTAGATTTCCATCCAATAAACCGGGAAACTTTACCATGAGATCCTCAAATTGTAGAAGATACCAAGCTCGAATTGTGTACTCAACTCTCTTGCAGAGTTTCAGAAATTCAGCTCGATCAGAAGTATGCTCTGCAGAAAGCAAAAACTTAATACTCAAAACAAAGCCAGCGCCACCAAGTTCGTGCAAAAAAGGCAAAAAATCCTAGCAATTATCTTTCTTTTGTTTCTTTCTCTCTTTTGTTTAATGGACTTCAATTCTATTTTGTTAGTTGGAAGAGGAAAAGCATCATTTCACTGCCATTGTTCTATTAAACACATCGCATCCTATTTTCTTTTTTCCTGAATCATGAGTAATTAGTTTTAAGCAAGATTATCAAATTAAAGGTGGATTTAACAAGTCCCCACTATAATTAAGAAAACAAAAACGTTAGAAATGGGAAGCAAATGGTGCAGCAGGGAACCCACATATTCAAATTCGAAAAACTAGAGATAGATTAAAAGATCCACGTAGAATGTAAAAGAAAATACATTACCAATGAGGTTGGCCAGGTGCACGGTGAGCTTAGGCTTGAGGATTGGAATGACAGATTCTCGCTCCAATCGGATAACCTCTTTATTATTATTATTATTCTTTCTTGTCTCCGCCATTTTTTTTCCTTCTCAGTCGATTTATTTACCTGAATGCATCCACAAAGTGAACATAGAAAATTTCGGGAAATGAGGGTTTTGATATCTACGAGATGGGTACTGCGAGTATTAACTTCGCGTTGAAGGCAGATTAATATTCATAGACAATAAAGAGTCTAAATCATCGGATTCTCACCTCTGTCCCTTCGTCTGAACCTCACTCTGGGTGTTACAACCGTTACTCCATTCAATTTATTTTGACTAACCATCAAACTATAACTTTTTAGGGTGTATTGAACCATGGTCACTAAAGTTTCAGCAATATCTCAATTGGGTTGATGAACTTCAATTTAATTTCAAATCTACCATTCCATCACATTTCGCAAAAAGGATCGTGCTACTCTACCAGATTAGTACAAAATCTGGTAGAGCCAATGAGTCATTGGNGGGGGGGGGGGGGGGGGGGGGGGGGGGGGGGGGGGGGGGGGGGGGGGGGGGGGGGGGGAGGTTTAATGAGGGACCCACCTCATGTGAGGCAACCACTCTACCAAACTTTTTACAGGCCTGGTAGAGTAGTTTAATGCTAGCAAAAATATCCTACCACACTCCATCCTTGATTGCCTGTATAGGTAGGAACAATTAAGCTACTATACTTTAATTTATCTAACGTGAATGAATTTCAACTTTTAAATGGGAGACCAATCTCGAATATTCATTTTCTTTTATTTTTTTTATTTTTGAATCAAATCTATTTTGAAATAAGAAAATAATATCTATATAAGTAAATGAGACAACAGATGATAATATTTAATCCTTGCTTCCCAAATCTTAATTTATCACTTTATAACAATGTTCTAAAAAGTATAAAGCGTGGTTAGGTGTGAAGACAACGTTTCAAGTTTTACGAGCAAATTTTTAATTATTCTAAAAATCAAAAAATCATTTAATAATTAAATTAATACATACTAAACATAAATTATAAAATATTATATTTACTTAATAATTCACATAATTAGTCATTTATACAAATTTCAAGATTTTAAAATGCAAAAGCTAAACTATATTTAGATGGTAAGATATTATTCTCTACCGTGTCATTCTCTTCCTGATCATCACAGTCCTTTACAATCCAAAATCTTGCATTAATAGTATCACTTGCTAATAGAGTCTTTATTTTGTCATTCTTCTTCTTATTGTTCATCAACTTTGCATTAAATTGCACATAAATAAGATTGTTTATCCTTGTTGTGTACCAAAAAAAAAGAACAGAAAAGAAAACTTGATCGCTTAATTTTGCGTTCACTACCAGGACATAGCGTTTCACCTAAACGCGATTTTTAAAACACTACCTTATAACATATCTTAATTAAGTCAGACATTGCAAGCTGCAAGATTAGATACACTACAAATTGTATGGGTGTTTGGTAGAGATTAAAATCGGATTAAAATTGAAAAACTAACCGTTATTGTTGACTTTTATTAGATGAGTGGAACCCAATAACGACTATATTTTTAATTTTAATTGGATTTTGAGCCGTACCAAACTGGCCATGTATCTTCTCGTCAGCTACCTCTTAGAATTTGCATTTACACCGTTTCGCTATCACATAGAAACTGCGATTGTACAGTATCAATCAATCAATAATTAATTAGCCTCCATTTAGAAAAAAATTGTAAATGAAAAATAAATAGTATTTGTAAATCTATTAATAGATTTAATTAAAAATAAAGTTTGACTATTTACAAATAATTTATAATTTTTGCCAAATAGTCTATATTTGAGTAAATGTTTATAAATTATTTATATAAACACATGAAGTCACATTTTAAAAGATCCACATGTACAATTATTTATCTACTGCTCATTGCTATTTATTTGTTACAACATGCTTTTAAGAAGCAACAACATGAACATTATCAAGTTAATAGAAATGCATAAATCTTAATAGAACCAAGCTACGTAGTCTCCTATCACTCAACATACAATCTTGGGACCTCGATTTTGATATTTTTATTATTTCTACCAAATATCAAAACATATCTTTCGTCGTATAGAAGTCTACTTATATACATGTGTATTGAACAGAGTGCCATCTTTCGTCCTTTGACCACCCATCTTCAGCAGGAAAAAAATACATCTAAAAACCAAAAAAGAAAATGTTACCCCCAAATAAGAATCCTTATTGATTCCACGATCTTACGAATGGTTTCCCCATGGACTCTTGTACTCCAGAATTCTGATGTGTCATTTCCATCCATCCAATGTTGTTGGTTTTGATACCAGTGACTGTGTCATGGCTGCTCAAGTAGTTGAGTGAATTAGCAGACTGTTGCAACACATTGCTGCTTGTAGGAATTCCGCCATCCATTCCACTACCATTTCCAGGCACAATGAACCGTTCCGCAGACCCCATTGGATCATAAGTGGCACTAGGACGCAGTTCATTACATTTGGATACAACACTGTATAAGGTCTGATCCGAGTTACTTCCACTGCCTACGCTATGGGTCCCACTAACAGCACCCATTGACCAGCCACCACCAACCCCATGCTCACTTTGAAACCAATTCTGACTCAGCTCTCCATTCATATGAGATAGAGGAGCCCAATCATGAATATTGACTGTCAAGTTCTCTTGCTTCTGCATAGAATATCGACCTGCATCAGAAAACACACTCTCCTGAATGTTCTGATGCAAGTAAAGATCATTCAGTCTCTTCTGCCCGGGGTCCAAAGCAAGTGATGGATAAACCTGTTCCCTGAAATGCCCAGAAAATTGACCACCCTCCATCATTAGATTGGGCGCTGGCCTGAAATCTAACCCCAGCTGTTTTTGCTCATGATGGCTGGGTAAACTGCCCTGGTTCTTGAAGAAAGACTGAAGTAGTTCATTTCGAGCTTTGTTTGGGTAAGAAGTAAAAAAGGACACATCATCAGTTTGTCTGTGCAACGGATTCTTCCCTACATCCTTACCCCTCGTTGCTTCCAAATCTATCATTTGTACCGGTTGCTCCTCTATAAACTGCGGATGGCCAAGTGACAACTCACCAGCAGAGGCATATTCATCACTTGCAGAAGTAGAACAATAATAAGAGCCGTGCATGTTACCTGCTGTCCAGACATTCCTCGTAGTTGGGTGAGGATCCTGCTGACTAACAGGAACATCCACGTGGTTCAGATTTCCAGGGTACTCTGACATTATTGAAGGAACTTCATCTGTCTTTGCAATTAAATCATTTCCAAGGGATTCCATCTCCATCGAGTTGAACTGGAAGCTACCATCATTAGGCGAATCCAACTGCTGCTGTTGATGCTGATCCTCAATAAAAACATGGCTGGAGTCATCATTATCATCTTCAGAAAGTTCTGTATCTTTAGGTGTTTGCTCATTAAATGCATAACCGGTCTTCTTTTCCTCGTCAACCTGACCATCATATGATAACACATAAGAAGTTAGTACAACCACCAAATCTTTGTTGCACAGAAAACACAAATTAACAAAATTTGTCTCCAGTGATTGACAAGGCTGATTCCATATACTCATCTACCCCCAATCATAAACAAAAAATAGACAGCAAAAACCACCTCTGTAGTCACAGCCATATCACAGTTTGCTTCTCCATTATCTATTGGCTTCTGAAGTAAGCAGCCCTCTTTCTCCTCATCCTGAACACCCACCAAATGGAACTGACAGGTTGATATCATACACTTAAAGTAGAACACTATGTTAAAAACATCAGCTTTCAATGCGTGGTTGAAAAGTTTTAACAGTTTTTGATAAAAGTTGATGATATGTGAGGTTGAAAAGTTGATAAAAATGCATGCTTAAAATTGAAGTTTGACCAGTTGAAAAGTTGATGAAACTTTAGCAAAGTTTTACCAAACAAGGTGATAATTTGTTATTCCTAAAGCTCTAAATTTAATCAGGATATACAAGAACAAAAGTTCAGCTGATAAACCTTGACTGTCATTGCAGGTATAATTTCTTCTTCGCTATCATCTGGTGGCTCATGCAGCTGCTCGTGAGAATCATCTTTCTCTTCATCCAGAGTAGACTATTAGAAGCGAACAAATTAAAAAATGCAGCAACTAAAAAATTTGCAAGAGATCTGAAAGGTAAATTTCAATCAATTTACACGACTAAGGATCCCTCCACTCACAATGAAAAACTTCTAAAAATAATAGATGCAACAAACCTCTTGACAACTTAATTTTTGTCTCATTTCTTGACTCAAGGACTGTGTTAACTGTTGTCTCTGCAATTGTCTCTTCCTCCAGATACCAAAACCTTCTGGGACATTTTTATTTACCAATTCCAACCTGTAAGATTGATATTAGCATTCGTGAGCATGAATTGAAAGAGTTCAAAATTTTACTTTGACAATGTTTTTAAGACGTTAAAAAAAAGGAAGAAGGATAAACTAACCAATAATAATGAAGCTTCTTTCTTTCTTCCTCCTCAAATACCTCAAATGGTTGTACACGGAGTGCATCAATGTTACCTAAAACATTATTCAGAGACCTAGGCTTGATGCTATTACTAGAATGCTTCATACTACTCTTGACACGTTGATGCTGTTCTTTGCTGATCTGAAGAACCACATAACACAAACCTCAGCTTGAAAATATTGCAAACAAGAAAACACATTCCTAAAAGAAATAACAAAAATGGAAACCGAAAATAATAGAAAACTACGTGTGCAATTTTACTTCATGGAAAAAGGGCAGGAGTTATGAATAGTGACATGTTGAAGTAAATAACAATTTCTGATGCACCAAACAACCTTTATGTAAGACATGTATTTGGCACCATCACCATGCTGGATATTGCGCTTTTGGAGCTTTTCTCCCTTTTTGGGCCATTCAACAGCCTTTAAGCCATTGGAAGAATCATGATTTTTGTCCAAGAAGCCTCTTCTGCATATTCAAACACAGAACAACTAGCTGGAGTTATCAAGATGACTTTAGCTATATAGACTTGCATATATTAGACACTCAAAATTGTCATCAAACACAGATAATGAGACCTTGTGAGGTCTTTTTTTTTTGGTCGGATGAAAGAGAGAGAGAAAGAGACTAAACTACCTCTTTTTAGATTTTCCAAGCATCATCACCATGTTCTGATTGTCACTGCTGTATGCTTTATCAGAAGTAGCCCAAGAACACGAGTCAGGTGTTGCAACAAGGTGTTCTTCAGTGCCATAGAATCCAGTCTCAGACGTTGGCATACCTTTGTCAGCATGCTTCCTAGCCCTGCTTATAAAATTCAATTCTTAAACCTAGATGGTTTAAATACAGAAACTGTAAAATCTTGAAACGCTTCGAAACTAGAACAAGAAGCAGAACCTCAAGGGATACATTAATAAAAGCCATTTCGTGACAATTTCAAGCTAATTCAGCAAGGCACCAAGAATTTTTGCATTTTCATGTTAGTAGTGGAATCATCAATGTCAGGCTGCTCAAATAGGACAGAGAAAATTCCTCAACAGAATTCTCATGACTAATTGTATGCAAATCAATCTTGAAATAGAACACTAAACATCCATTCCACGACATATACACAAGAAACATAACATAGAAACACATAACTGCCGAAAAAATCAAGCACAGTCAAAAGCAAGTAATTAGGATTGCCATGGCTATCCTATATGAATATCACTGCAAGAGTGTGTTGATTGCCTAGTACTATTTACAACACTTCATCATTTATTGATTAAACAACTATCATGGATACAAGTTCCATTTCCAAGATTTTTTATTTCATAATAAATTGTGGATATAAGTTCCATTTTCAAGATTTTTCATTTCATAATTAATTGAACAAGTTACCCTTCCAAATTCAATAGTTAATGAAAGAAGGGGGCCCTGGGGGTGAAATTTTCTCAAGAAGACACACTGAATGCAACAATGTGATAATGGGGTTCCTAAAGACTATGTAGGAGACTTTATTAACAAATTTTATACAACAAAAACGCGCGTATGAAGAGAATAACCTCCAAATTTTCTGCACAACGTCCTCAGGATCCTTGCAGGTGGCCAATTTTTCCTTCCACGTCCGCAAATTCCCAATCATGCTGAGACAAGGAACATAAGCATCTTGAACAGAAAAAATTAAAGCAATAGCACAACTCAGAATAACAACAGATAGCACTGAACAAATGATAACTACATACTCGTCATGATACTTCTGCAAGTCCGAATAGTATGCCTTCTTACTGGTCTTGAGAGACTGTTCCTCATGAATAATGTTATCAGGATGAAGTTTCCCAAAACAAAGAGATGAGCCCCTGAAAACATAATTCTACCAGTAAGTAACTTTGCTTACCCATGGCCATACCATCATTCCAAATTTAAAATGGAAGTCTGTAATCATTAAGATATAAGAAGCATGTGAGGGGAAAAAAACCATTTCTATGTTCTCAAAACTGCAGGAATAAACAAGAGCAATATGTATGCCATGGTAGTAAGCCAAACCATTCCCAGGAAAGCTGGGTGAAGAAATTACTATGCTTCCCTGTCACAAGCAATTTAGCCCCCGTTTGGCCCCCATTAATTTGTGATACATTTTTCTCTCTCTTCTTTTTAACCACACATTCTTCAAAAAAACATTATTTCAAAAATTATACCATCAAATAATGGGGGCCAAACGTGAGCTTAATTATAGTGGGGAAAAGTAAATGTCTTCAACCAATGATGCTAAATGCATCTTCCAGTATTCTTTACCTTTTCAAAATAACAAATATCACTTAATATACAAAAGCGTGTTAGCCCTTAGCTTTAGTCAAAAAACAATCGAGCCATAAGTATGGTGCCCCCTTTCTTTTTAACTCAGAAGTTTCTTTCAAGCCATAAGTTAGGTTATATAACTACTGCAAAGCATCTCAAACCAAAAGTAGAATTTTGTGGCCTCAGTGAATGGGAAGAACAAGATCGATGACATCCCATCCAAGATGAAAATTGTTTAGCCCTTGTTTGATCCCCATTTTTTTCAAAATACATTTTTCTCTTCTCATTTTTTCAACCACACATTCTTCAATAAAATAATATTACCAAAACTTTTCCATATTTTTTAACCACGCATTCTCCATCAATCTACTATTCTAAAATACATTCTCAACAAAAAAAGGGGGGCACAAACAGAGTCTTATTGTCCCATAGAAGGAAACAATTGTGCTATGTACAACAATAAATAAACAACATGCTAAGAAGACAACCAAAAGAAGTCGCACAATCAGAAAACACATGCATATAAGCCAAAATTGTTCAAGATATTCAGAATTATAGTAAATGAAACTATTATGTGCAAGATACAAAATAGTCCAGCTCAGTCGATATATATTATGATTTAGACTACTGCAGCTTTTAAAATCAGATGTCTACAGCCCACAAGCACAGAAGAACTTGCCATTTCTTTAAAGGATTTCCAAAGTGAAAATTAATCCCTGCAAGCAAGTCTTGAACAATATTATCTGACTCAGCTCCTTTAGGTAGAAGTTGCGATAGAAGACTTCGTTCATCTTCAGATAAATGGTTCTGCCAGACCTATAACAGGTTCCATATGAATAGATAGTTTAAGAACAATAACTGCTTGACAAATAAGCATTAAAAGCGACAGTTACCTCATATGAGAACACCTCAGATAGACTTTCCAACTCAAATATCTCCTGAGGAACAGAAATTACATCAGCCAAAAAGTTAAGGCCATGAGCACCTGCCTCCATAAATGGAATTAAGTGTCTTTCAGCAATGCCAATCTGCTCCCTCTTGGAAACAACACTCTTTTTCTTGTTATCCCACTCAAGAAAGATGTTAGCTCTCATGTTCAGATCATACTGTGGTGATCCCATTTTCTTCCTTTTCACCTGGCGTAGTTGGCGAGAAGTACATCCAACAAAGCTGGTAGCATTTAACCGCTTTTTCTGATTATCGGCTGCCATTTTAACCAAAATAACTATTTAAAAAGGAGTCTCAATATAACATTCTCTAGCTTGATCTGAATCAAGAGGCCTCTTCCTTTGCCGAGAAAACTGAAACTTCAAGCTTAGATCTGTCAATAGCAAAATATACAATCTACTTAAGACTGCCCGTGTTCGATCTAGTGCATCTAGAAGCAATCGATTTAATTTCTGTAAGAATATGTAAACACTCCAAAGCAGAAAACCAAGTTGCAAAAGCTACAAAAATATAACAAATGCTCAAATGTACTGAGATTAAAATCCTAGTTCCTAAGAAGCTAAATAAATAAATGAAAAAGTTTTATTCGTCAGCTCCCTGTCTCTTAGACAGGTTATTTTGTCTACTTTGATTTTCCATTGGCTGGAACCTGGAGGTCCGGCCATATGTGCCTCCTTCTATGTTTGTACTTAACTTTTTGTTTTTCGCTTGCAGTAGTAATATATACCCCAACTTTGTAGTGATCAAATAAATATGGAAGCCACTATAAAAACATCATCTGACAGAAATACTTAATGGATGATAATGTATCATAATAATCTTCTTGAGTTAGTATGTTTATCAAATAATAGATGCCAGCCTATAAATATTCATTCGCACATAGAACTTCCAATCTCAGAAGAGAACCAATCTCAAGTGAGCTCCATGAATTAGCTTCATGCACCAACACCAATCATGGCATAAACAATGGCACAAAAAAAGGTCAAAACCAGTTTCACTCAATAAAACTAAGACCTTGTTTGATTTTTATTTTTTGGGAGCTGATTTTTTATGGAGAATGTGTAATTAAAAAGCAGAGAAAAATTATGGGTCCACGTGTAAAGTTATTCTATTGGGAAAACATGTGGTAGAGAATGAGTTTAAGGAAAAGTGATTTTGAGAAAACCAAAATCAAACAAGGGCTAAATTTAGCTATTCTATTTGAAAGAATGTAGTCATATTACTGGTATATTTGAGATCCCAAGAAACTCGTAAGGTATGTTCGGTAGGTAAATTTAAAAAGTTAAAAAATATATAGTTGAACTATAAAAATAGCATATATTTGTCTTTAAGATGGACTCTCCAATTAATAAATTCAAATCAGATGAATAAATAACATGCACGGATTCAATATGATTTAAAAGAAAAAGGAGAGAAAATAAGTGAGAGTTTGAGGATTTCACAGCAACCCCCTAATGATATTCAGACTCAGTTTTCAAACGTTGTTTAATATGCAGGGGGAAATTACAGGGGGACTGAAGGGTAAGACATTACTAAACTATAGAGTTATAGAAACAAGAAACGATTCAACAGAAAGATAAGGGGGAAAAGCGGTAAAATAATAATAACAAGTAATACAAGAAAATGGGGGGAAACGAAGAGTATAAAACTTACAAGTAAAACAACACTGAAAGCATTACCCAAATTAGCAGAACCAGCAATTTCAATAAAAAAGGTCAATTAACAAGTAAACTAAAGAAATTATCCCAGATAAAAATTGGAAAAAAAAAAAAAAAGAAAGATGAATTAAGAACAGAGATAGCCTATTGGGGAAAAATAAAAGCCCTAGAAAAACAGAAGCAGAGTGGGAATTGAACAAAGAGAATACCTCGTTTGCGCTCAAGATGGAAAACTGGAAGTCTCGAGTGGCTATGAGGTAGAGAGAGATTGGAAGGGAGATGTCAAGGCACGCAGCTTAACACAACAATGCAAGTAGAGAAGTAGACCACAGATTGAGAGATGATCATCATCATGATAGATAAAATCGGACGAATCAGGTTTCTTGGAACCAATGTTATAAACACGGTACCACCAAAACAGGACATGAGCACAACGAAATTGTGAATAGATATATGTAGGATAATATTCTCTCGATCAACATAAAGAAAAATTAAGGGAAATGGTTTATTAGGGCCATTTTCAAGTCGTTTTCTGTTTTCGATTTTTCAAAACGGCGAAAACGTGTTCTCTTTGTCATTTTCGAAAACGACTTTTTGAAAACAAAAAAAAAAAGTGTGTATTCAATTGAAACTTTTAGGGGCCGTTCTCTTTGGTCGTTTTAGGTCATTTTCTGTTTTCGATTTTTCAAAACAATGAAAAACGTGTTCTCTTTGTCATTTTCGAAAACGACTTTTGGAAAACAAAAAAAAAATTCCTACAGAAAACACAAAACGGCAGAATTGCCGTTTTGGGCGTTTCCTTCAGTAACTCGAAAACACGGGAACACAATCTGGAAAACACGGAAACTGCCCAAAACTCTCCTCCTTTCTTCTGCCACTCCACCGCCACTTTCCCCTCTAAACTCCGGCCAACCTCCTCCAAAACGGTCGGAGTTATATACCATTGCGAATCCCTCAATCCCCTCTTCAATTACCACACAAAAAACAATTCAATCATATAGCAAAATCGAAAAAAAAAATCTTCAAACAGTGAGTGGTACCGAAGGCGGTTTCCATAAGATCAGATCAGCCGATTCTGGAATAATTGAAGGTGACCCATGGTAGTATTGATGCGCCTTGTTCAGAGGAGTGGATTGGTGGTGGTCCGCGATCGGAAAGGTGGTCGGCGGCGGTGTTTATTAGCCGAAACAGTGAGTGGTACCGCGGTTGTTTTTGGCTGATTCCGGCTGATTTTGGAACAAATAATCGGTTGAAGTTGTAGAGGGAGGTCGGGAGTTTGAATGATGTTGGGATCTAGTGGTCCAGGTGGTGGGTTGTGGTCGGATTGTGTGGGAGAAGACGTTTCTCTGGAGGGGGCGATTTCCGGCAGGTTGATGGAGAATGGAAAATGAAAAACATGTGAACGCGTTTTTTAGAAATTGTTTTGGGAAATATTTTTACAAAACTACAAAAAGAACGCGTTTTCGACAACCTAAAAATAGTCACTCAAAACACAAAATACAAAATGAATTCAAAACACAAAACTGAAATAAAAAAAGAACGGCCCCTTAGTTTTTACCAAATTCCAACTTAAACATTTGGTAGGGGTGTCCTCAGTCAATATTGTGATGAAATTTAATTTTTTTCTAAATTTAGGTATCCCCAATTGAGATTTTAATAGATTTTAGGTGTGTCTAACTGAGAATTTAATGAAATTCAATGAAATCTTGTAAAATTTTAGTATTCTCAATAACGAGTGGATTTATGAAGATTTTATTAATATAAGGATTTTAAAATTTTTGAATGAATTTCAAGGTTAAAAATACATATAACCAAATCTTTTGAAATTTTATCATACTTAATGAAATTCTTATGGAATTTGTGAAAATTTATTCAAATACACGAAATTCATTAGGATTTATCTATTTTAAAATCTATCAAAATTTTAATTGAGAACACCTCATAGATGCATTCACTAATGTTCATAATCTTTATACATTATTATGTCCCTATTCAATAGAAATTAAAATTCAGATTTCAATCTAAGTCAAAATCAATAATTAATTTAAATTACATATTTTATGGGGTCACAACTTTTCAACAGTACATTTCATCATTTTTTTCATCAAAATTTACTAAAAATCTAATTTTAATTACATTATTATTATTCACTGGGATATATTTATGTCTCGAAAATTTTTTCATTACATTATTATTATTCTCAAATTAATATAAATTATTGTTGATCATGGTTTTTCTTCAAATTTTTCTTTAAAATAGAGTAAAAAAAACTCGTTTGTCCATTGTATTTTTAATAAGCAAAACAAATAATAATACAAAAATACGATTAAATATTTGATCCTTATTTTAAAGTACGCTAACATATTTTTGGATGAAAATCATGATTAAGGACAAGAATTTTGACCAATGAAATGT